CCCTCCTCCCTCCTCCCTCCTCCCTCCTCCTCCTCCTCCTCCTCCTCCTCCTCCTCCTCCTCCTCTCCTCCTCCTCCTCCTCCTCCTCCTCCTCCCCTCCTCCTCCTCCTCCTCCTCCTCCTCTCCTCCTCCTCCTCCTCCTCCTCCTCCTCCTCCTCCCGGAAAGGGCATGGGCCCAGGGTTCTCTTTTAGCAGGTTCATTGACCCCTCCCGGTTTCTGCCGGCGAATTTTTGTGCGATCAATGACGAGGTAAGGTGTGGTTCCCGGACAGGGCGCGGGCCCAGGGCTCTCTTTTAGTAGGTTAACCCCCCGGCCCCCCTGCGACTTGGGCCGGCGAAATTATTTTGCGAGCGGGCACGCACGGAGTAGGGCCGGCGAAATTATGTTTGAGGATGTCTCGAGCGAAACGCTTGTTTTTCAGAATTTGTTGAGGATGTCTCGAGCGAGACGCTGGTTTTGCAGAGTTGGGGATGTCTCGAGCGAAACGCTTGGTTTCAGAATTTGTTGAGGATGTCTCGAGCGACACGCTGGTTTTGCAGAGCCGACCGCGACACGGAAAAGCGCCCCTCGCGCAGGAATTCCAAGGATGTCTCGCGCGTGCCGCGTCCCGCGCGCGGGTATTTGGATTTCTTGGGATTTTGACAGGATGTCTCGAGCGAAACGCTTGTTTTTCATAATTTGTTGAGGATGTCTCGAGCGAAACGCTGGTTTTGCAAAATTGGAGGATGTCTCGAGCGGTGGCCTCGTGGGGGGCCAGAATTCAAAGGATGTCTCAGGCGAAATGCTTGTTTTCACGTCCCGCTCGCAGGAATTCCGAGGATGTCTCGCGCGTGCAGCGTCCCGCGCGTAGGAATTCAGATGATCTTGACAGGATGTCTCGAGCGAAACGCTTGTCCCCAGCACGTTCCGTAGCGCGTCCCCTTGGCAGGTCCCGCGATGCGTCCCCATGGCACGTCCCTTGGCACGTCGCTTGGCGCGTCCCTTGAGACGTTCTGCGTCGCGTCCTCCTGGCATGTTCCCCTGTCCATTAGCTCTGGGGCAGCTACTATGTGTTCAGGCAGCTCGAGCTTAAGATCCAGATCAGTTCGGTCAGGACTCGGATGCAAAGGAGGACTCGATCCACGAGGCTATAGAGCACAATCGCGCCATGGCACATCGCAATTCAGCACGGCGCAGCACAGCACTGATTTCGGCACGGTACATCAAGGTCGATGCACTCAGCATTGCAACTTGGCACGTTCCTTGGCACGTTCCGTGGGGCGTCCTTTGGCGAGTCCCCCTGGCACGTCGCGTCGCGCGTCCCCTGGCACATCCCGTGGCACATCCATTGGCACGTTCCGTAGCGCGTCCCCTTGGCACGTCCCGCGGTGCGACCCCATGGCACGTCCCCTGGCACGTCGCCTGGCGCATCCCTTGGGACGTTTCGCGGCGCGTCCTCCTGGCATGTTCCCCTGTCCATTAGCTCTGGGGCAGCTACTATGTGTTCAGGCAGCTCGAGCTTAAGATCCAGATCAGTTCGGTCAGGACTCGGATGCAAAGGAGGACTCGATCCACGAGGCTATAGAGCACAGTCGCGCCATGGCACATCGCAATTCAGCACGGCGCAGCACAGCACAGCCCTCGGCAGGGTACATCAAGATCGATACCTTCAGTATTGCATTTGCCCGTCACCCAATCAGGTGTCTTTGAAAACGCTGCCAAGTGTTACAGTTCTACATTCCTTTCCGGGTTCGTGGGTCGATCATTGTTTTTTTGTTGAAGAAGTGCGTTTCGTGCGTGCCCGCTCGAGGAAAGTGCGCCCCCCATCTCGGATCCTCGATAAAAAACGGGGTCCGCAGACCCTCGTTTTCCTTCGTAAAAAAGAAGGTGCGGAGCGTTTTTCGCAGAATCCTCGACAAATAACGGGGTCTGGAGCCCCGACCGCGACACAGAAAAGCGCCCCGCGCGCAGGAATTCCGAGGATGTATCGCGCGTGCCGCGTCCCGCGCGCAGGAATTTCGAGGATGTCTCGACTAATTCGCTTGTTTTGCCAGGATTTCTTTGGATTTTGACCGGATGTCTCGAGCGAAACGCTTGTTTTCCATAATTTGTTGAGGATGTCTCGAGCGAAACGCTGGTTTTGCAAATTTGTGGGGATGTCTCGAGCGGGGGTCTCGTGGGTGGCCAGAATTGGGAGGATGTCTCAAGCGAAATGCTTGTTTTCGCGCCCCGCGCGCAGGAATTCCGAGGATGTATCGCGCGTGCCGCGTCCCGCGCGCAGGAATTTTGAGGATGTCTCGGCTAATTCGTTTGTTTAGCGAGGATTTCTTTGGATTTTGACAGGATGTCTCGAGCGAAACGCTTTAAAAAAAAAAAAAAACTTGTTGAGGATGTCTCGACTAATTCGCTTGTGTTGCCAGGAATTCTTTGGATTTTGACAGGATGTCTCGAGCGAAACGCTTGTTTTTCAGAATTGGTTGAGGATGTCTGGAGCGAAACGCTGGTTTTGCAAAATTGCGGGGATGTCTCGAGCGGGGGTCTCGTGGGGTGCCAGAATTCAGAGGATGTCTCAGGCGAAATGTTTGTTTTCACGTCCCGCTCGCAGGAATTCCGAGGATGTCTCGCGCGTGCCGCGTCCCGCGCGCAGGAATGTTGAGGATGTCTCGACAAATTTGTTTGTTTGGCGAGGATTTCTTGTGATTTTGACAGGATTTCTAGAGCGAAACGCTTGTTTTTTTTCATAATTTGTTGAGGATGTCTCGAGCGAAACGCTGGCTTTGCAAAATTGGGGGGATGTCTCGAGCGGGGGTCTCGTGGGGTGCCAGAATTAAGAGGATGTCTCAGGCGAAATGTTTGTTTTCACGTCCCGCTCGCAGGAATTCAGAGGATTCACGTCACGCTCGCTTGGCACGTTCCGTGGGGCGTCCCTTGGCGAGTCCCCCTGGCACGTCGCGTGGCGCGTCCCTTGGCACATCCCGTGGCACATCCATTGGCACGTTCCGTAGCGCGTCCCCTTGGCACGTCCCGCGGTGCGACCCCATGGCACGTCCCTTGGCACGTCGCTTGGCGCGTCCCTTGAGACGTTCCGCGGCGCGTCCTCCTGGCATGTCCCCTGTCCATTAGCTCTGGGGCAGCTACTATGTGTTCAGGCAGCTCGAGCTTAAGATCCAGATCAGTTCGGTCAGGACTCGGATGCAAAGGAGGACTCGATCCACGAGGCTATAGAGCACAATCGCGCCATGGCACATCGCAATTCAGCACGGCGCAGCACAGCACAGCCCTCGGCACGGTACATCAAGATCGATACACTCAGCATTGCAATTTGGCACGTTCCTTGGCACGTTCCGTGGGGCGTCCCTTGGCGAGTCCCCCTGGCACGTCGCGTGGCGCGTCCCCTGGCACATCCCGTGGCACATCCATTGGCACGTTCCGTAGCGCGTCCCCTTGGCACGTCCCGCGGTGCGACCCCATGGCACGTCCCCTGGCACGTCGCCTGGCGCATCCCTTGGGACGTTTCGCGGCGCGTCCTCCTGGCATGTTCCCCTGTCCATTAGCTCTGGGGCAGCTACTATGTGTTCAGGCAGCTCGAGCTTAAGATCCAGATCAGTTCGGTCAGGACTCGGATGCAAAGGAGGACTCGATCCACGAGGCTATAGAGCACAATCGCGCCATGGCACATCGCAGTTCAGCACGGCACAGCACAGCACAGCCCTCGGCACGGTACATCAAGATCGATACACTCAGCATTGCAATTTGGCACGTACCTTGGCACGTTCCGTGGGGCGTCCCTTGGCGAGTCTCCCTGGCACGTCGCGTGGCGCGTCCCCTGGCACATCCCGTGGCACATCCATTGGCACGTTCCGTAGCGCGTCCCCTTGGCACGTCCTACGGTGCGACCCCATGGCACGTCCCTTGGCACGTCGCCTGGCGCGTCCCTTGGGACGTTTCGCGACGCGTCCTCCTGGCATGTCCCCCTGTCAATTAGCTCTGGGGCAGCTACTATGTGTTCAGGCAGCTCGAGCTTCAGATCCAGATCAGTTCGGTCAGGACTCGGATGCAAAGGAAGACTCGATCCACGACGCTATAGAGCACAACCGCGCCATGGCACATCGCAATTCAGCACGGTGCAGCACAGCACAGCCCTCGGCACGGTACATCAAGATCGATACAATCAGCATTGCACTTGCCCGTCACCCAATCAGGTGTCTTTGAAAACGTTGCCATGCGTTACATTTCTATATTTCTTTCCGGGTTCGTGGGTCGATCATGTTTCCTCCTGCTCATCATCCTGCTCATCCGCCACGTCCTCCTCCAATGCACGGAGCTCGCCGTTTCCAATTGCGCGGAACACGATGGGATCTGTTCTGGAATTCCAGGTCCGCTATGACACGCGTGCGCGGATAGGGAAGAAACCAGCGCAAGGAGAAGGGATGGGTGTGAGGGGCAGGATGTCAGAGCTGCCTCCGGTAACTCCGCCACCGTGCCAGCACAGCACTCCGGGCGGGCGGCATCTGGGCCTCGGGAGCGCAAAACTGCTGCGTTCTGCGAGGGGCTGTGGCCTCAGGGAAGAGGGGGGATGCAAGCGACTGGGCGGCGGCGAGGGGGGGGGGGCCCTTAGAAGGCTGCAGAAACCATGTCAGAAAGCACTTGGTATTCTTCCTCGCCTCAACGTGCCGGGAGGCACGTTGGCGGATGGCGCGATCTCACCTACATAGCTTGCCTGTCTCTCTCCTACCTCCTCCTCTTCCTCCTCCTCCTCCTCCTCCTCCTCCCTCTCCTCCTCCTCTTCATCCTCCTCCTTCTCTTCCTCCTCTTCTTCCTCCTTCTCCTCCTCCTCCTCCTCCTCCCTCCTCCTCCCCCTCCTCCTCCTCCTCCTCCTCCTCCTCCTCCTCCTCCTCCTCTCCTCCTCCTCCTCCTCCTCTCCTCCTCCTCCTCCTCCTCCTCCTCCTCCTCCTCCTCCCCCCCCCCCCCGCTGCCTCGAGAGAGCGTGCCGCGCCCCAGTCCCCCCCCCCCCCTGAAGGCGTCCCTGGACGCCAAGGGCGTGGAGCTGGCTGGGAAGGAGGCCGCGCTGACGAAGCGCAAGGCCCTCCTCCCCGGAGGAGGGGGAGGAGGAGGGGGAGGAGAAGGCTGGGGGAAGCGGCAGCGTTCGGAGAACACCATTGCCGTCAGCGTCTCAGCGTCTCGGAGGAGGAGAAGGGGGAGGAGGAGGAGGAGGAGGAGGAGGAGGAGGAGGAGGAGGAGGAGGAGGAGGAGGCGGAGGAGGAGGAGGACGAGGACGAGCGGGAGGAACTGGAGGAGGGAGAGGAGCTGGAGAGAGGAGAGAGGCCCCGCTGCTCCCCATCCCCGCTCACTCGAACGCCTCTCGAGGACCCTCACACCGAGGCCTTTGGAAGTTAAAGCTCTGACCTCAGGTCAAGACGTCGGAGCCCAGGAGGAGAATGATGAGAAACAGTAGGAGGAGGTTGTTCAGCCCTGGATATCTGAGAAGTGGGCGCCATGAGATGTTTAGCCTGGAGGGTAGTGTTGGGAAGTCCCATTGAGGAGCAGGAGGAAGAGGAAGGAGAGAAGCAGAAGCGGATATGAGGAGGATAGGGGGCGCGTGGATGGTAGTGCTCAGCATGCTCTGGCGGGAGCGGCCGGCCTCGAGGACGAGCTCGCCAAGAAGGAGGAGATGATCAAGGGGGCCGTCAAGAAGCTGGAGGCGCGGTTCAACCAGGAGCTCGCGGCCCGCGCGCCGCCCCCCGCGCTGTCCATGGGGGGCGAGGAGAGCGGGCCGGCCATGAGAGCGAGGGGGTCGGGGCAAGGGCAGGGGGAGTAAAACAGGGCTAGGATCGGGATAAATCGCGTCGTTTTAGGGAGGTCTTCGCGTCGTTTTAGGGAGTAAAACAGGGCTAGGATCGGGATAAATCGCTCCAGAGCGTTCCGGAGCGCTCTCAGAGCGTTCCGGAACGCTCTGGAGCGGCCGCGGCGCCCAATACATCCTCCAAACCCGCTGATTCTCAGAGATTTCGAGTTATCCCGATCCGATTTTGTCCCGATCTTCGCGTCGTTTTAGGGAGGTGCGTCTGGGCGTGAGGAGGCCGCGCGGTCCAAGGCGCGCTGCGCTGGCGAGCGCCCGACTGTCCAGGCCAACCCCCCGGGGACGCCAAGGCAGCGAAGCGTCGCGCGCCGCGGCCCGTGCTGGAGAGCTTGCCCTCTCCAAGGTGGCCTCGACGATGGCCGCGCGTCGCGCATCGTGGGGCGCGATGCGCGACGCACGAAGATTGCATGGGGAGAAAGAGGGGGGGGTGAGGGGAGGGGAGGGAAGGGGCATGGGCTGGGCAAGGATGTGGCAATGGAGGGACGGCGGCGGGAAGGGGGGGGGTGCAGATGTTGCCAGAGGGGCCAGAGGTTGCTGGGAAAGGATCAGAAGACGCGAAATAATAAACACAAGAAGAGCCAGAAGCAGAGGAGAAACGAGAAGAAAAGAGGGTAAGCGTGGGGCGAGCTGGGGGCGCTGGGCTGGGCAAGCAGGCGGCAAGGGAGGGGAGGCGGAGGGATGGGGGAGACCCGGCGGAGGCGGCCGGGGTGGGGGGGGGCAGCGCGGCTCGCTGCCCGCCAGGAGAACGAGAGGCAAGCCGTGCACCGCGAGGACATGAAGGCCGCTCGGTGCCCACTCGGGGGAGGGGGGTGGGCCCAGGGCGCTGTCGTGCCGTGTCGGGCCGTTTGCGATCAGGCCTCCTCCTCCTCTTCCTCCTCCTCCTCCTCCTCCTCCTCCTCCTCCTCTACTCTCTCCTTCCTCTCCTTCTCCTCCTCGTCGTCCTCCTCGTCGTCCTCCTCCTCCTCATCCTCCTCCTTGCTCCTCCTCCTCCTCCTCCTCCTCCTCCTCCTCCTCCTCCTCCTCCTCCTCCTCCTCCTCCTCCCCCTCCTCTCTCTCCTTCCTCTCCCCTCCGCCTCTCTTCCTCCTCCTCCTCCTCGTCGTCCTCCTCCTCCTCATCCTCCTCCTTGCTCCTCCCCTTCCCGTCTGCATTCATTCGCACGTCGGCGCCCGCCGGGGGGGGGGGGCATGCACGCAGGCCGCGAGGAGTTTTCCCAGTGGGTGGCGCTGCACTCCACCTCCACCGCCAGGGGGAGCCTCACCAGCGGGGTGGCGCAATGCAGTTATCACATGTATCGCTTCTGCCACGCGTGGATCGGCTCCAAGGCAGATGGTATCTCTGATTCTTCGTGTCCCCTCTCTCCTCGGCTTCCTTCCGTCCTTGTCAGCACTCTTCGTCGTCGCATCACTGGTCGTGCCGGTCGGGCGGGCTGGGCGTTTCGTTGCGCTCTGGGCTTCCTCACAGCTGAGGCACCTGAGGCTTGAGAGCTCCACCGGCAGCGCGTGTGGAGGCTGGGCGTGTCGCTGACCCTCCTTCTCGCCTAAACGCCGCGCACGCTCGTGCACATAATCTCCGCGACTGTTGCACCGATGGGGGCCGCGCACATTCATCGAACGAGGTCCCAGCAGCTTGACGGATGCAACACGTGCCGTTTGCAAAGTGTGGTTGTCGTTTGAGCGTTTCTCAGATTCGTCTGAAATGCTTCGAGCGGGTCCAGGGAAGGAGGGCAGGTGGCTTTCAGCGTGAGACTCTCGCTTCAGCGCGCTTTAGCGCCGAGCACACTCGTCTGCAAAAACTCCACCGTCTACACACATCGAGGGTGTGTGGTTTTCCGCCCAGCACCACGGTCACGCAGATGGAGGGCAGCCCTTTTTCCCAGAAAGGGCTTAAGACCAGGGTTCTCTTTTAGATGGTTTACCCCCAGGTTTGACTTGAGGTGGGCCGGCGAATTTCTTTTGCGATAAATATCGAGGTCGAGGTGGGCCGGCGAATTGAAATTTGAGGACGAGCGAAACGCTTGTGTTTCAGAATTTGTCGAGGATGTCTCGAGCGAAACGCTTGTTTTGTGTTATAGATTGTCCTCTCCTGGGGACCTGCATTCAGAGGATCTCTCAAGTGAAATGCTTGCTTTCACGTGCCCAGGTCTTGAGGATGTCTCGAGCGAGACGCTTGGTTTCACGCCTCCAGGTTGCCCAGACAGATGTTTAGCATGAGGATTTGTTGAGGACGTTTCGTACCAGAGGCTTGTTTTCACGTGTCCAGGTCACCCAGGCGGATGTCTAGCATGAGGATGTGTCGAGGAAGTCTCGATCGGGACGCTTGTTTGCACGTGTCCAGGTTGCCCAGGTGGATGTCTAGCATGAGGATGCGCTCAGAACGTCTTGAGCGAAACGCGTGTTTTCGCGTGTCCAGGTCGCCCAGGCACAGCGCAGCCCTCGGCACGGTACATCAATATCTATACCCTTAGCATTGCAGCTTGGCATGTTGCCTGGCACGTTCCGCGGAGCGTCCCGTGGCGAGTCCCCCTGGCACGTCGCGCGGTGCACGTCCATTGGCACGTTCCGTAGCGCGTCCCCTTGGCACGTCCCGCGGTGCGTGCCCATGGCACGTCCCCTGGCACGTCGCCTGGCGCGTCCCTTGGGACGTTTCGCGACGCGTCCTCCTGGCATGTCCCCCTGTCGATTAGTTCTGGGGCAGCTACCACCTGCTCAGGCAGCTCGAGCTTAAGATCCAGATCAGTTCAGTCAGGACTCGGATGCAAACAGGACTCGATCCACAACGCTATATAGAGCACAATCGCGGCATGGCACTTCGCAGTTCAGCATGGCCAGCACAGCGCAGCCGTCGGCCCAGTACATCAAGATCGATACATTCAACATTGCATTTTGGCACGTTCCTTGGCGCGTTCCTTGGCGAGTCCACCTGGCACGTCGCGCGGCGCGTCCCCTGGCACGTCCCGCGGCACGTCCATTGGCACGTTCCGTAGCGCGTCCCCTTGGCACGTCCCGCGGTGCGTGCCCCTGGCACGTCCCCTGGCACGTCGCCTGGCGCGTCCCTTGGGACGTTCCGCGGCGCGTCCTCCTGGCATGCCCCCTGTGTCTATTAGTTCTGGGGCAGCTACCATCTGCTCAGGCAGCTCGAGCTTAAGATCCAGATCAGTTCGGTCAGGACTCGGATGACAAGGAGGACTCCATCCACAACGCTATATATAGAGAGCACAATCGCGGCATGGAACATCGCAGTTCAGCACGGCGTAGCACAGCACAGCCCTCGGCACAGTACATCAAGATCGATACATTCAGCATTGCATTTGCTCGTCGCCCAATCAAGTGTCTTTGAAACGTTGCCGTGTCTTACTTTTCTATCTTCCTTTCCGGGTTCGTGGGTCGATCATGTTCAGAACGGGTCTCCTCAGCCTTGTCTTCGGAGTTCCTCAAGCCTTGAAGCCCCAACGGATGCACGAATGGAGGGCGGATCCAACTCAACACGGTTCGCTCGCCCCAGCGACGCGCGTACCCCTTCACGAGCTTCACAGACTAATTGGAGGGTGACTCCCTCACAAGCCGGCTGCGTGTTGCACCGCTATGCGGCCGCATTCGACATTCTGAGCGCTGATGCGCACTTCAGTGCACATTAGGCTCCCACCATGCAGCCCCTTGGAGCTTCACGTTTCCAGTGGGCACTCGCCGCAGTGGCACACAAGGCTACGTCGGTTCATCAGAGGGGCACTTAGGAACGGGCAGCATCCATGGCGCGTGCGCTGGTCTTGCTCTGGTCCTCCTCTCCTTCTCCTTTCTTCCTCATCCTGTTCCTCTTCCCCTCTTCCTCCCTCCTCCTCCCTCCCTCCTCTGTCCTCCTCTTTGTGCTCGCTTGGGGCCCGCTCCGCCGGAAGAGCCGGCGGAGCCGGACGAACTGCTGGCTCGTCGAGAGCTTCGAGGAGAGCGACGCGGAAGATGCTTCCCAGCCGCAGGCCTGCCCAACATCGAGAGCGTCTGGGGTCAGGCAGCAGGCTTGTCTGGCGGGCCCAACCCCGATGCAGAAGGGAGGGGAGCTGCGTCGGGGCGTCCACCTCAGAGGCTCGGGGCCTTCCTGGCGGAGGGCCACGGGGTGCCGCCCAGGGCGCGGCCACACCGAAGCAGGGGCGAGCCGGGAAGTGCACGCGCCGGCACTGCGCGGCACGCCTGCGCGCGGTGCCAGCGCGTGGCGCCCGCAGCCGTCCGCGCTGCCCGCGCCGCACGCGCGCGCGTGCGGCGCTGAGCCGAGACGACGGCACGAGGACCTCGTCCTTCCCCCTTCCCTTCTTTCTGCACGAACGAAATGGGTACCGAAAGAATGGGTACAGTGCCCAACAGCAGTTCCTGTTCGTTTTGAACAGGACTCGCTGTCCGCGCCGCCGCGGTCTGTGTCCGTTCGAGACGGGGCCGCCTGCCCAACAGCGGCCGCTGTTGGTTTGGGACAACATTTGTTGTTGGGCATTGTACCCGTTCTTTCCGTACCCATTTCGGGCGTCCAAATTCTTCCCACAGGCTGACACGACCGACCCTAAGGACCATCCTCCCTCCGTCCCTCCCAATTTTCTTTTGCGCATCTATCTCGCATGGCATGCGAGATTCTATCTCGCATGGCATGTTGTCCAGACGCGCCAGATTCCCGAGGCCACGGCCTCGCCCACCCGGTCTTGAGTAGGCCCGGGCGCTGCCCGCAGCGGTGGTCGCATCGCACCGCATCGCACCAGTTCGGGTGCGGGAGGGGCTGCCTGCTCCCCGGGTCCCCCCACGGTTGCTCCTTGGGGCGCTCCGCGTGCTCCTCTGCCGCTCCGCTCGGGGGCCGAGGAGGGGCTTCGCGTTCCTTGTCTGGCGCTTCTTGTGGTGGCAGCTTCACTGCACGTGTGCGTTTTTTCTCGGCGAGAACCATGGAGGACCATCCTGGACCATCGAGCAACAAAAACACGCACGAAACCGAGACATGCACGGGAAATGGACGTCCGAGCGACGGCAGGTGCACGGTCTGCCCTTCCTGCTGCGCCCGCCCATCCACGCCTGGCCAGCAGGGCCCCCCCCCCCCCGCCCGGAAGGCCACGGAGCTCCGGCACAAGGACAGCGTGGCCAGAGAAAAGGACGCGTGCCGCGCGTGGCGCCTCCCCGCCACTCCCTCGCTCCCACAGGCGCTTAGGACAACGAGGAGGAGGAGGCTGATGAGGAGGAGGAGGAGGAGGAGGAGGAGGAGGAGGAGGAGGAGCAGGAGGATCGCACGCCACTGAAGGAGGGAGGAGGAGGAGGGGGAGGAGGAGGAGGAGGAGGTCGAAGAGGAATTGCCACTTGCCACCCTTGCGGCAGAAGACCCTAATTAACCCGGCTTTCGACACTGCGCGGTGGGGGGCCGGGATTGGGGGCCACGACGGGCCACCTATGTCGGGGGTCTGGGCTCGCTCACCAGGCGTCAGAAACGCGATCGGAGCATGTGCACATACAGTCGGGGCGCTGAAGAAGGAACCCTTTTCGTTGGGGAGGGGCTCGGTGTTCCTTGATTGTTTCAAAGCTTGCCTCGGGTTGTCCTGAGGTTTTCCATGGGAAATCGAAGTTGAACTTATGGGAAAAGTGGCCTCGTTCCTTATATAGGGTTCCTTAGGTCAACGACCCGACTGTAAAGTCTTTCGGGTTGGAGAACCCAGGGTTCGCTAGGGACTGGCTTCCCCCCAAAATGCCGAGAGCCCTTCCAAAACGCCTCTGGAAAACCCCCGAAATGCCGCCTGGAACCCTTCCCGGAGGGTTGTCGGAGGGCTTCGGGAGGTTCTCGGCGGTCTTGAAGGGAAACTAGTCCTCAGCGAACCTTGGTTTTTTTTTTGGTTTAGGGGGATTTTGTTTAGTTTAGGGGAAACCTGCATCAACCTGAATGTTGAGGGTTCGCGCGGATTTCTCGGACCTGCGCTCCGCGCGCCAGGGAGGCGGGGCCCACAGCGCCGGTCGAAGGAGCGCGCGCGGACCTCCGACAGTTTGCGCTTGTGCGGCGCATACTTCCTCGCAGAGGCGGAGGGGTGGGCGCACGGGGCCCCAGGATATACACCACCACCACCTCCCTCGCCCCCTCCCTCTTCCAGGAGAGAGGGCAGGAAGACGAGGGAGGAGGAGGGAGGAGGATCCGACGTGGTGGTGGTGTATATTCTCAGGGCCCGCAGGGCGGGGCATGGGCTTCCGACCTGCCAGGCTGTTGCACACAGTGCCCTTTCCTGGGCTGCATCCTCTGAGCACGTAAGGGCACCCACGCCCGCGGTGGCAGCGGCGCAGAGGGAGGAAGGCGTGCGAGCGAGCGCGTGGTCATCCTCTGTTTCCTGCACCTCGTCTTCCTCTCGTCGTCCTCCCGTCCTCGTCCCGGCATGCTCTTCTGCTCCTTCGAAGGATTGCAAAAAAACCCTTCGTTTTTTGCAATCCTAGGTTTTTTTGCAATCCTTCGTTGGGTTTTTTTGCAATCCTTCGGTTTTTTTGCAATCCTCTTTCTCTCACCTGCTTCCTGCATGGCGACTGTGGGCTCTTCTGCTGCGGTGCGCCGGGTTGCCGCGATTGCTCCTGGCAGCGGATGTTTCGGGGCTGGACAGAACCCCCAACAGTGACACGTCGATTAGTGAATTGTCCGTTTTCGGCTTTCGAGAGGGCGCCGTGGCCGTTATTTTCCAGGCTTGCGCCCGCCGGGTTTGGGCCCGAGGTCGTTTTCACTAAACCACGTTTTGCTAAAGGGGGTTCTGTCCATCCCCGAATGTTGGAATCATGGGTCAAGTTGTTGCGAGGGGGTTGCTTGGGCACAACATGTGATTGGGATGCCAGAGGATGCTGCTGTGACGCGCTGCGCCGTGGCGCGCCCAGCTTGATTGGGTTGACCGGCGACGGTGCCGTGGCTTTCCGCACTGTGTCGAGACCGAAGTTAGCTCGCCGCGGTGCCTTGCATTGCCGTGCCGCGGTGCTCGAGATGTGATGTGATTGCCGCGAGGCGGTGCCGTGCCGTGCCGTGCAGTGGTGCGCAACTCGCGAGTTGGTTGCCCGAAGGTGCGCCGTCGTCGTGCTAGGCCGTGGTGTGTGCAGGACGTGCTTTTGGTGCCCGAAGGTGGTGCCTTGGCGCGCTCTGCTGTGCGGCGGTACTGTGTCGTCCCGTTTGGCCGCGTTGCGTGGTGCCGTGGTGGGGGCTATGGAGCAAGCAGGTATGCGTGCACGTATTATTCAGGATCGCTTGGTGGTGTGGATGTTTTTTCACAGGACCACAGGAGGCCCAGATGAGAGAGCGAGATGCCAGGAGGGGCGGCAGCAGCAGCAAGACGCTTACTGGCAGTGGGGAGGGAAATTGCTTTGAGGAGAGTGCGGACGAACATGAGGAGGGGGAATAGCGGTAGTTGCAGGACGAGGGGGAGAGTACGATTGGAAAGCTCATGCTTGTGGATTCACGCGTCCATCCTTGTGGATGTCCTCGGGTTTGGGCGGTCAGGACGGTCACCATGTGTCTGACCGTTCGGCTGTCGCCACGGCGAGGTCGCGAGCGACCTCCAGCCGCGCTCTTCTTAGCCGCGGTCAGCCGTAAAGGTCTGCTGGCAGCGCTTCCCTGGCCCATCGCCGCCTTCCCCCCCCTTGGCGGCGCGCGCAACGAGGCCTGGAGGCGTCCAAGAGGGATTACACTAGAAGCCTCCGCGGCCTCCCAAGAAGGCCCCCGCCCCTCTCAGTGAGGCCTCCCCTCTCGCGCCGCGTCCCGCACGCGCGCCGCCAGGCCTCCTCCCGTCCGCGACAGGGGCAGCCTTGGCTCTAATCGCAGGCCTAGAGGTTGACACCAACACCGATATCGGCGGTGTGCCTCCACCGAGGGAAGAGGATCTCAACCTCGGTGATGGTGGCAATATGCTGACTTCCAAGGTGGCCGAGATATCACCACCAACACCGAAATATAGGATCGTCTCACCCCTGTGGAGGCAGCCCCCCATGTTGGTGTTGGTGCCCATGTCCAGGCCTCCAATCGAAGCCCCTTCAGAGCCTCGAGCTTGCCTCTGCACCCGCGCCAGCTGCACTGCATTGCAGCTTCCGCGCGCTCCGTGCGGCGTGGGTCGTTTTTTGTCCCAAACATCCTGTGGTGTTGGGTCCTCATTTTGAAGAGACGGCGCCCCGCGTCCTTCCTCCTCCTCCTCGTCCCCCTCCTCCTTCCTCCATCGTCATCGTCATCACGTCATCACTCCCGTTTCGGCGCGCCCCTCATAGGGAGCTCTACCGAGTGCCTCCGTGGCGCAGTTCGCATGTGGCCGTCCCCGTTTCGGCACACCACACACGTTTCATGGCCCCACGGGGAGCTCCATCTACGGCCCCCGTGGCGCAGTTCGCATATTGGCGTCACGCCCGTTTCGGCACAGCGCTCATATGCTTCGTGGCCCCATAGGGCTCCACCGAGTGCCTCCGTAGCGCAGTTCGCATGTGGGCGTCATTGCCGTTTCGGCACACCCCTCACACGCTGCGTGGCCCACCTCATCGGGGTTTCCATCTAAGGCCTCCGTGGCGCAGGTCGCATGTGTCACTGCCTTTCCGGCACACCCCTCGCACGCTTCGTGGCCCCATATGGGGGCTCCACCGAGTGCCTCCGCGGATCAGTTCGCATGTGGGCGTCACGCCCGTTCCGGCACACCCCTCGCACGCTTCATGGCCCCATCGGGGGCTTCACCGAGTGGCTCCGTGGCGCAGGTCGCATATGGGCCCGAGTGCCCCCGTGGCGCAGTTCGCATGTGGGCGTCACGCCTGTTTCAACGCACTCCTCACAATTTGTTTGGCCCCATAGGGGTATCCACCGAGTGGCTCCGTGGCGCAGTTCGATTTGCGTTCACCCATTCATTTCGGCACACTCCTCACATTTTTCGTGGCCCCATAGAGAGCTCCACCGAGTGCCTCCCTTGCGGAGTTCGCATGCTGCTCCTCATTAGTTTCAGCGCACCACTCACACGTTTCGTGGCCCCATTGGGAGCTCCACCGAGTGCCTCCGTGGCGCAGTTTGTATTCTGCCCCACCAATGCCGGCACACCCCTCACACGCTTCGTGGTCCCATAGGGAGCTCCACCGAAAGCGATGGCCTCAACGCCGTTCTCAACACTGTATATGTCTGCGTCCAGATAAGTTTATGTAAGTGTATATATATATACACATACAGATTGAATGTGTGGTTTTTTGAGCACTCGTCCTCCGCCTCGTCGTCGTCGTCGTCGTCGTCGTCGTCGTCGTCGCCATCGTCGGCCTCCTCCGCCTCCCCCGCCTCCTCCTCCTTCTCCTCCGCCTCCTCCTCCTCCTCCTCCTCCTTCTCTCCTCCAAAAAGCTTGGGAAAGAGACATGTTTTTGGCGCCAACTCAGTGAGCTCTTGCACAGCACGATAGCCCCTGAAAGTGAAGAGGAAAGCGTTGAGGGTTCTTCAGAGGGCTTGTCATGGGTTCGCACTAGTGCTATTACAGGCTTAGCCAACATGACCCACAATTATCTGCCGATTGTTTGCTTTGTGGGGCCAGGGGCACCCTCTTCCACAGGCACTTTGAATGCCCAGCTCGAGAAGCGTGGAGGAGGGACAACCTGTCCGATGAGGTTGAGCCCCTGGTCCAGCGAGTAAGTAGATGCATGATAGAGCTTCAGGAGCGTTTTTCCCCCCTAGGCATCCTACCCGACCCTTGCCAGCTTCTTGCCAAAAAGCCTTGGGACCCGTCCACCGAGTTCAGGATCAAGTGAGAGGCAGCGTCCCTCATGCTCCAGGTTCGGGCACGTTTTTTGCGACGGGCCTGGTGTCGACGGCCTTTTCCCGTCATTGCGACTGGCTGGGTGGAGGGTGGCGGTGTATAATCTTCACAGGCGCAAGGTCGCCGAAAGGTTCGGGTCAGTACCTCCCACCGTGTGCCCAGATCAGGTTGACAGGGATGGTGAGGATTATGCTGTGTCTGTCGCCTCGAGGTTCAATGGGAGGCAGCTGCACACTCTACCTGGACTGCAGCGGGACTTTGCGGTGCTGCGAGGTTCGGGGGTATCCGATCAGGTCGCTCAACGGTCGTGCCCAGTTGTGGCGCTGGTTGTTCTCTGGATGGTGATCACCCGGGTGTCTCTTGTAAGACTGTCCGAAGTCATTCCACGCATGTAGACATCCGCGAAGGGCGCATCTCAGAGTTCGAGAGGCAAGGCAACCATGAGGCACACCGACCCGCCAAGGAAGGTGCGTCTCTCAGTCGGCATGGCGAGTCTGACGTGCTGTTGGCCGAAGGAGTGTTGCTCGCGGCCCGCTCGGCGCTGAACTTCGCAACCAGGGCCGACCTTGCTGTTCCGAGGAGGGCCGTTTCGACAACGTCGGAATCCAGGGGATCTCTCCGACTTCTCCGGAGGGTTGGGAAAAAACACACACTGTGGGGAAAACACACACACACACAACAAACACACACACACACACACACACACACACACACACACACACACACACACCGTGGGAAAACAAAACACACACTGTGGGAAAAAACACACAAGCACACACAAACACACACTGTGTGTGTGTGTTGTTTCGGGTTCGCCATCGGCGAGGCCGGGAGGGAGGAGGCCGCGGAGGAGCAGCGGGCGGCCGCTGCCGCTGCGGAGCCCGCCCCCCCCCCCGAGGGACAGCCAGAGCTGCCTGCCCGAGGTTCCTGCCCGAGTTCCTTGCCCGAGTGTCCTGCAGTGCGGGAGGGAGCACCCTCCCTCCTCTGCTGTTCCCCCGTGCGGAGGGCACGCACCCCGTGGCCCCTGGCGCGATGTTGGCTCAGGGCAGCGTGCGCGGGGCCGCAGGCGGCCCCTCTGGGAGCGGGCAGGGAGAGCAGGGCGGCGAGAAGAGCAGGGCGGCCTCCTGCAGGCTGAGGCACCCCAGCCGTCCGCTCGAGGATGGCCCCGTGGCGGTCACCAGGGGGCCTGGCTCGCAAGACGTTCGCCCAGCCAGGCCTGCCTGGCAGCCAGGCCTGACAGGGCGAGCAGGCCCAGGCGAGTCGCGCGTGTTGTCGACAGGGTCTGCCAGTTTGCCCAGTGCAGCCGCGGCCCAGGCGGGCCGGCGGACGGAGGCCAGGCGAAGCCTCTGCTTGGCAGACTGCCTCCCGAGCTCTGGTCCGAACGACGACGAGGCCGGGAGCCTCGGCGCCAAGCTTCGAGAGCGGAAGACCCGCGATCTCGGAGACAGAGAGAGCGGCGGCCTTTGTCCCAACCATTCCCATGGTGTGGGTCTTCGCTCTGCAGGGACAGCGCCCCGCGTTCATGCCTCTCCTCTCTTCTTCTCTCCTCCTCCTCCTCCTCCTCCTCCTCCTCCTCCTCCTCCTCCTCCTTTCGCCTCCTTTCGCCCCCCATCCTCGCCCGTGCCATCCGCATGTTTCTGTCTCGGCACACCCCTCACACGCTTCGTGGCCCCACAGGGAGCCCCACCGAAGGCTCCAGTGGCGCCGCCCGCATGCGACGCACCCATTTTGGCACATCCCATCACGTGGAGCTCCACTGGAGGTTCCAGGGGCGCCGCCCACGTGCGTCCGACCCGCTCATTTCGGCACACCCCTCACGAGGACCGTGGCCCCGTAGAGAGCTCCACCGAAGGTCCCGGGGGCGCCGCCCGCATGCGTCCGACCCACCCATGTCGGCACACCCCTCACACGCTTCGCGGCCCCATAGGGAGCTCCACCGAAGGTCCTTGCGGCCGTCCTCGCGCGCGCCTCCCTCGCCAATGTTCGGCACGCCCCTTACTCGCTTCGTTGCCCCATAGGGAGCTCCACCGAGGGTCACAGTGGCCGTCATTGCGCCCGCATGTGGTACCCGCCCCATGTTGGCACACCCCTTACGCGGCTCGCCCATCTCACGCGGTTCGCGGCCCCATAGGGAGTTCCCCCTTGATCGTCCTGTTTGCCTTGTGGTACTCGCAATTGCATATGGTTTGGTCCTTCGCCAGGATAATGTTCCTAAGGGGGCCCTGTCGCGGGCACAGGGGCGGCCCGTCAAAGCAGCTCCGTGGTGCAAAAAGGTCCTCCGAAGACCCTCCCCGAAGGTTTGTAGCTGACCACAGAACCTTTTTCTCTTTCTTCCTTTCAGTGGCGTGCGCTCCTCCTTCTCCTCCTGCTCCTCCTGCTCCTCCTCCTCCTCCTCCTCCTCCCTCTCCTGCTCCTCCTTTTCCTCCTCCGCCTCCTCCTCCTCCTCCTCCTCCTCCTCCTCCTCCTCCTCCTCCTCCTCCTCCTCCTCCTCCTCCTCCTCCTCCTCCTCCTCGTCCTCGTCGTCATCCTCCTCCTGCTCCCTCTCAGGTCATCCTCGTTATCCTGTTTGCGTTTGGCGCGTCGCGCAGACGCGCACCCCGCAGGAGTTGCTGGAGCGAGCGCGGCGGGCCCACGATGAGGAGCTGGAGATGGGGAAGGCTGCTGCCGCAGAGTCCTTCTTGTTGTCCTCGTCCTCCTTCTCCTCCTCCTCCTCCTTCTCCTCCTCCTCCTCCTCCTCCTCCTCCTCCTCCTCCTCCTCTTCCTTCTCCTCCTCGTCTTCCTCCTCCTCGTCCCCTTTCCCCTCTCTCCCCTCCCCTCGTCCTCGTCCTTTTCCTTCTGGCGCTTGCGCTGTCGGCTTTGGGTCCCCAGGGGGTGCCCCCCCCTTGCACACACACACACACACACACACACACACACACACACACACACACACACACACACACACACCAGCTTGGTGGGCAGGGTGGGGGGCATTCTGAGCATGGACCGCTTGCGACCGCAGAAGATTCGGGAGGTGTACTCCAGAGGAGGAGGAGGAAGACCGACCAGAAGGGGAACGACACGAAGAGGACCAGAAGTGGGAGGAAGTCCCTGACGCCCGCGCTGGGCCGCTGGCCGCTGGCTTCTTCGCCCTCCCCTCGCCTCCGGGGTCCCTCCTGCCTGGCCGGCGCGCGGCGAGCTCCCATGGCCGGGGCCGTGGCGTCGTGGTGGCTCGTTCGTGGCGCCGTGGCTCGCTCGTGGCCGTAGGGTGGCTCGCTCAGTGGCGGAGCTCTCCAGCCGAGGCGGGAATGTGTCCATGTCCACCGCCTGGAGGGTCAGTTTTCGGAGCCTCTGTCTCTGTCTTCCTCTCGTTCGCTTGTCCCTTGTCTGACCGTCGTCAACTGTCATGCATGGCGGCGCCCCGGCGCCCGCCTGCAGCGCCCCCGCGGCGCCTCGACTCGACTGCAGGCCGATGTCCGATGTCCGATGTCCGATGTCCACCGCCTGGAGGGTCAGTTTTCGGAGCCTCGGCAGGCGGTGGATGTGGACCTATATTCGGGCCCCCCGGGGCCGACATGTGTCCAGATCCACCGCGCGCTGGGGCACCAGGACGTCGGCTCCCAGGCGGTGGGGATATGGATAAATCCCCGCCTCGCACTCCAGCGGGCGCTGCCAGTCAGGGCGCGGCGGTGCCCTTGCAGAGCGCGCCGATGCGTCTCTGCAGGTCGTCCAGGTGAATTTCCTTCCTGCTCGTGCCTTGGACGGCGTCGCCGCAGTCGTCACCGTCCTCCTCGCTGTCGAAGTCGAATGCCAGGGCGACGGTATGGGCGCGCGTGCGCTTGCTCATCGTGAAGCTGCTGGTTGTGTCGGCGGCCCTGTCTCAGACCATGCAGAGGGAGACATTGTCGCCTTCTCTGCACCGCTCGATGACGGTGCCACCCTCAGACTCTGGTTCTGACCGTAGCTCAGGTTCCTGTTGTAGCTGTCGCCCTGGTTCAGGCTGTAGCTCAGTTTCTGGTTGTGGCCCCGGTCCCAGTCGAAGATGTAGCCCCAGTTCTGGTTGTTGCCCAGGTTCCACTTGCAGGCCCTTATCTGGGCTGCCAGCCTCGAGCTTGGTGGCGGAGTCGGCGAAGGCTATGTTGCCACAGGTTCAGTTGAGCACGCATGGTGTCTTGCTGCTCGAGTCGTAGATCATGTTGCCGCGCGTGCCCCTGATCTCGCAGGGTTGGTTTTTGCTCAGCTCGCGCGGGGCGGTGTAGGCGTCGTCCCTGAGCGCATCGGGGACTTGAACTCCCGGGCTGATCGGGGTGAAGACGGCCGCGCCTCTTTGTAGCTGGAAGCCTGATTCCGGTTGTAACTGCTCACGTTCCTGGTTTCGAGCTTCGTCCGACCGTGGCCGAGGTTACCCTCTGGCCCGTGGGCTGTCGTGCTTTCTCTGGGTCCGTAGTCCTACTTCTTCTGGCTTGCGCCGGGTCCTCCCCCCTCGCTGGGTCGCCTGGCCTCTTAGGGTCATTCCCGAGGGGGCGCCCTGGGTCCCCCTCCATCGGCATGCCCACCTTGGTCGGCGCTGCTGCGGCAGCCCGTGGCGAAGTCCAGGCTGTAGTCCTGGTGGCCGTCGCCCTTGTCCCTGTGATTCGTGGTTGTTGCTGTTGTCTGCTGTCGCTGTGGCCCTCCAGGCCCGAGTTGTTGGAACCCCGGTGCTGGTTGTGGCCGCGCTTGCTGCCCTCCCTGTGGGTGTAGTTGTAGCCCTGGTCGTCGCCGCGGTTCCAGTTGCGCTGGGTGCGTTGTCGCCCTGGTTCCGGTTGTAGCTGCAGCTCTTGCTGCCGTACCCTTCCCTGTCCTTGGCGTGGTAGACGGTCCGGACACTCGCGGCGTCCTCGGCTGTACAAAGGAGTGCTCTCCTCCCAGCGTAGGCAGATCTGCGCACGGCAGCGCGCACTGGTTGAGGATGCCGGTCTCCACCATGTGCTGGGCAGGTCTCGTAGTGCTCGTGCTGGCGGCACTCGGAGCAGACCTCGTTGAAGCCGTCCTTGCGGAGGCCGCGGGTGCATCGTCGCGCGGGCCGTCGGGCGCCACGGGTGGGTCCGACCCCGAGGGCATCCCGCCCGATCCTCCGACCGCGGTCCGATGGCGGGCCCCGCCCCCGAGAGGTCGTGGCCTGAGCCACCCTGTCAACCGACCCCTCCTCCTCCTCCTCCTCCTTCCCCTCCTCCTCCTCCTCCTCCTCCTCCTCCTTCTCCTCCTCTTTCCTCCTCCTCCTCCTCTTTCCTCCTTCCTTGTTCTTCTCCTCATCCTCCTCCGCCTCTCGTCGCCCTGAGCCGCTCCATAGTCCGCATCTTTGCAGGTCCGGTCCCGTCTTCACGGCTCCTGCTCCTGTGCTGCGTCCTGCGCCTTCCTTCCAAGTTCTCCTCCTCCTCCTCCTCCTCCTCCTCCTCCTTCTCCTCCGCTTCCTTCCCTTCTGTTTCTCCTTCTTCTCCTGCTCCATCGCCGTCTTGATCCAGGCCAGGCGTGCCGAAACGAAGTGCCAAGTCCAACTCCGGCGCTTGGAGTACTCATGCACAGTGCTTGGAGTGAACGCGTCCTGGTCGGACAATCTTCGGCCGGACTGCCACAGACGAGGCTACCATCTTTTAAGTCAGGGCTTACTTGGCCAATTTATAGCGGACCCGAGTGACCAATCAGAGGAATGGGCATCGACCCTTGTGGTCGCAACATGTAGACTGTAGACGAACCACCAGTCCATGAATGCCGCAAAGCGTCATGAGCAAGTTGCGATTCGAATTCGCGTCGTGTTGAACAGTGGGGGCAGCCGAAGACTCGTGGACCCACGTGCGGCAAATCCTACGGTATCTGCCGCTGCAACCTCGCAATGCCATCTCCCAACACGATTAAGCCTACGAAGCAATCGGCACACCCCCCTCACCAGAGGAAAGTACAACGCTTCCGACACCAGGGCCGGAGCGGAAACGACACCGCCCGCAGAGGCCTGCGACCCAAGACCCTTTGGGCGGGCAGGAGGCGCAGAAGGAGGGCTCCGACGAGCCCAGGCAACGCTCAGGGCCCCTGACGCCCGAGCAGATCACTGCTTTCCTGCCCCAGACGCGGGCAGCGTTCCTCAGGCTGCTCTAGAAGCTTACTCGTGGACTTGCTGCGCCAGGCTACGGGCGACGAGGGTTCCGACGACGGGCTTCCTGTGGACCCTCACGCAATTCCCCCGCCAGGCGCTCAGTTCAGAGTTGAGGGTCCTACTCGCGATGC